GTTTTAAACAAGTACATTTATCAATCTTCTTTAGAATTCTTTCTCATATTTTGCCTTACTTTGCATTTTTGGACCTGTAAGCAATTACTCTTTTTTTAAAAATAATATAATAATATAAGAAGCTCAGATAAAAATCTGTTAACTTATGTATTTCCTACCGGTTTTCTCTCTTTAGAAGCTATTATATGTTTTATTCCAGTGTACAAGGAAAATATGCGAATGGAGAGAAGTTCACATACACTCAAGCACTTGTTTTCTTTTTGTGTGTGGCAAATACTATTTTCGCTTGGGTACTTAGACCGAAGAAAGATGTGGATACCGTTCCTACAAGAATGTATGGCTTGTGTGCCGCTAGCTATCTCCTTGCAATGATTTGTAGTAATCAAGCACTACAGTATTTACCTTACCCTACCCAGGTAGTTTCTCTGCATCCATGAAAATTCTTCAGTTACTCTTTTCTTTGTTGTTTAGGTGCTGGCCAAGTCATGCAAACCAATTCCCGTTCTTATTTTTGGCGTCCTATTCGCTGGAAAGAAGTATTCATGGAGGAAATACCTATTCATATTGATGATAGTTTTTGGTGTTGCGGTGTTTCTCTACAAGGACAAGAAGTCGACAACTGAAAAGCAAATAGGAATTGGAGAATTGTTATTGGTATGCTCTTGTTCTTTTCTTGATTACGTTTTTTTACTATCTCTTAAACCCAAGTTTTCTTCTAGTTATTATCATTGACTATGGATGGAACAACCACATCCATTCAAGATAGGATAAACAAAAGCTACAAACGAAGTACACTCAGTATGATGTTTTATATGAACTTCTTCTCTACTATCTACCTGATGATTGGGTTTGTTGTTTAAAAATTGACATGGCGTTTCAATACCTTCCATGTTATGCTATTTCAGATTAGTAGCCACGGGTGAACTGTTTGAATTTATTGGTTTTGTTGAACGTCATCCATATGTGCTGTTTGACCTGTGCTTCGTAGCCGCTTCAAGTTGTGGTGGTCAGGTTAGACCTGTTTCTGCTTATTATGAAGAATGTTCTAGTTGTGTTTATCAGAATTTTCTTTCCTTTCCCCCATTTTTACCATCAATCTACTTGGGTTTTCCTACATGTTCAGCTCTC